AATATAATGCACGTAAATAATCGTATAAATATGACGTATAAGTAATCGTTTACGTAATTCGTGAAGTATGACGCGTAAACAATCTAATAATTTTACTTGGAAATATTCATCACACGTCAAAGTGACAATGTTTGAGTGAAGTTAAACTTCGCCATCATTAGCAGAAGTTATAAATGAAATTTGAGATGAAATAAAATATTTTTGCCTCTTTTTATTTCCTTTATGTGAAGTTAACAAGATGCTAAATATGAAAAATAATAGATTATTGATGGATGATAACAATCATCATGTTAGTGATGATAAATGATAACATATTCCTGTTAGATTACATATCAATTGTGCGTATGGTCGAGTATCTGTCACCGTAAATGGTGACCCTTCATAACAAACTTTTGGACCAAATGAATGTATACCAAGGAGAAAAACACGTTGTTTAACAAATCCCTGCAATCCTGCTCCACTATCACCCTGAAATGAAAATATTACGAGAGAGAGAGGGAGAGGGGAGAAAGGGAGAGGGAGAGAGAGGGAGAGAGAGAGAAAATACCTAAGAAGTTTACGTATACCTCTATAAAATGAAGAAGGTGGGTGAGACGTATTTTTATCACAAAGACCACTTTAAAGTGTCACAAAATTGTTGTAATCATCCAACACTATAAGATAACGTGGCGGGTTAAGATAACGTGGCGGGTTGTGGCGCTAAATGTAAGTCACGTGATGCGCAATAGTATTGGAGGAGCACTTTGGGATGACTTTCTAGGCTGATGAAAGTGGCCTATTGCCGAGCATTGAGTGAAATTGAACATGTAGTAAAAGTTGGTATATATATGAGAGGTCAAAAGTTATAGGTCAATTAACTCGGGTTATTGAAGTGCTAATGCCTCGCTTTCATTGTTTTAACATTTTACTTTAAATAAAGTGAAGTTTTAAATCCTTTAAATTGCACCTATAACTGTTGATAATTTCTGAAAACCATATGGAAATATACGAATATGGACTTTGCAAGAGCAATAAGGCTTTTTTTTAACTTAAACTTTTTCGTAAAATTTGAAACTTTTCCATATCATTCATGGATAGATAATGAGGAAATAATAAATTCAAAGGATCGATGTACTCTGATGATAGTGTATTTTCAATGCGGAAAATTATGATCATTGTATGAAGTGCATCCTTAAATATTGAACTTTTAATTCACAACTTCATAACTGATAACTAGTAACCAGTAAAATTAATTTTCCAATAATTGGTTTAAAATAAACTGCTCTTACATTGCAAATGCCATGATGAATAGTTTTATTTTTCATCGTATAAATTGGTCCAGCCCGAATGAAATCTTTCTCTTTCGCAACGCTAATAATTTTCGCACTACCATAATTCAACCGTGACATCATTTCTCCATCTAAAATTGTTATATATATGGAGAGACACTAAATGATAAATGATAAATGATAAATGAGAGACATTAAATGATGATTTTATGGTACCTTTTTATGGACGGTTTTTGATTTTTTAAATGATGGATAACCTTCTTTTTCTCCCTCTTGTTATTACTAGTGATAGTGGCATTATTTTCGTTTGGGAAATTCACAAATTATAAAACTAACTTTTGTTATTGTGTCATTATACAATTTAAAAAAAAAAACGGGCTTTCGAGATTTTTAAATTTTTCCAAATTAATTGAATGCATGTTAATGACCCACTTTCATCCTCACCAAATCCATAATCAAAAAGATTTTTGACAGAGTTAAGATCGAAAGTTGAATTAGGTAAACATATTGCTGAGGTAGATGTGTCAAACTGAAAATGAATGATTAATTCAAATAACCGATAGGCTGGATAAGTGTATTGGGATATTATATCGTTGCACAATTTTAGAAAAATTACCGAGAATGTTGCACGAATGGTTAATTAAATAGGAGAATAGGAGGAATGCAGAATAATGGCGGGGAATATCTTGATTTCGTAAAATTAAGTTATTTTCTTGTTTCTTCTGGGTCGTAAATATCGTAAATGTAACAATAATATATAAAGGGAGGAGAGCTAGAGGGAAAAGGTATATTATTTAAAAGAAAAGGTATATTATTTAAAAAGGTATATTATTTGAAGGAAAAAGTATATTATTTAAGGGAAAAGGTATATTATTCTTCTAAAGGAAAGGTATATTATTTAATTTAAAAGGAAAAGGTATATTATTTAAAAATATTATTTTGATATTGTCGACTTGGTTTACCATCAAATCACTTTCCACTTCAATAATCGCAAAATCATATCCTTGGATACAACCTCCATCCATGAAACTTGAAAAGAAATACCTTTTTTTCGATAAAAATTCCGACTTAGTTTTTAAACATATTTCACCAATATTTTATTTGATTGGAAAAATTTTTTGGATGAAACGTTCTTTTTTCTTTTTCTTTTTTTGCAAAAACTTTTTTTTCCTTGTTTACTAGATTTGCATAATACTGCGACAAACTAAAATAATGATATTGATTGGTTAGAAATTCCAAGTTTAATTTAATCATAATTTAATTCCAAAAAGCTGATTCGATAAACCGTTTATGTATTGCAATTTTACGAATTCTAGTTGTCATACATAACTTTCCATTACATGCTGGTGAACTGCTTCGTAAGCATATTCCACCGTATCGTATAACAATATTAGTTATATCATCCAAATTTTTAGCATATCTAAAATGCATTACTATTATGTCATTGCAAATGCATGAAAAATCTTTGGCATGCAGTCATTATTGTAAAATTGCACAAATGCATGACAGATCTTTGATATGCAATTATCATTGTAAAATTACGCAAATGCATGAAATGAGTGGTTAAAATTTGTTGGTTTGTTAATTAAGTGGGACATAACAGACGTGCATGGTAATTGATCACTTTCATATTTCATGATACAATGTGCTGCTGTAAGGATGTGTCGTTTTGAGATGATTGATCCACCGCAGTAATTGTAATTTTTCTGATTGATAAAAGTTAATGCTACAGCCCATGGAAATTGACCTAATCTTGCAGCTGATCCGGCCGAAATCATGTATGCTGAAACTTTTGTAATGGAATAGAATAGTATTTATTGTTTGCTGATAAGTGAACGAAAATCAAAGAAAATGATGTGATTGATTCGAGAATAACGTAGCAATTGACGTATACTTTGTGTTATTCAACGTTAGCACAGAAAGTGATGAATTTTTTTTTTTTCTTTTTTTGCGGCGATAATGTTGTATGAATATGATTGAATTAATTTGTTGGAAAAATTGAATTTGTATTAAAACTATTGAAATTTTAAAATACAGACGTGATGAAAGCCATTGTCGACGTGTTCTACCACAGTTAAGTTTCAAATCATCATTTTCATCCACGTTAAGTTTACTTAATTGCATAGCATCACCCATAAAGAAAAAAATTTTTTTTGTATCCAAATAATATTATTACTATCATTATGAATTCACACCAATAATTTTTTATCAACAATTTTACTAGTAAAAAGTTTATTCCTAATAAATGATCAAGAAATTATATTTGCATTGATCTGATGACAATTAAGATTTAAGATTTTGACAATAACTTGTGCGGGATTTGAAATATGAATATATTCTGTTGCCATTAATTACATTTTAGCTTAATTATTAATTTCATAAACGCTAAGCAATAAAACCGATATAATTAGTCGATGTGTGGATTTTAATTTAAGATCGCTTAAAATTAATTTAAACCTATAAAAGCTCATGTAATGAATGAATGATTGATTGAATGAACCAGGTTTAGCATAAACGACTACATCATTGAAATCCATTGGTAAATCATATTTTGCAAATGCAATAATGCCAAAATTTGCCAACAGTACGATTGTTACACGACCGTTCATCGAATTGTTTTGCACTTAAATTTGTGTTTAATTGCCAAAATATACATTTTTTATGTTTTCTAAAAATTTCTAAAACGATGATATACTTTATACAAACAATTAAACAACTGACTCATTATTCTATTCCAAAGAATTTCCAAAAAATTATTGCGATTTTATTGAAGGTCAATCATCGTCATATCATCATTTTAAATTATTCATATTTCGCATTTCATATACTCTTTTCTTTATCACTATAATGTATTTATTATCAAATTACTTCCTTCATGGAATCGTTGTTGTTACAATATATAAATTATATTGTATTTATGAAACAAGTTGCAGTATGTTTACTAAGCAAATTCCTGGATCAAAAAGTTTTATGTTCTGTATGATCAGTTTGTTTTATACACTTTGTTTTGGATTATTAGTAAATGCAATTTCCAAAATTGTACAATAAGGTTATTTCGAATTAAAATTGATTTTCAAAAATTTTGAAACTTGTTTACATAAGTAACGTTTTTAGTTTTTACTTCATTTCTAAGTATTAAAGAAATTAAAAAGGAAACTAAAAATTATAAATTCAAATTTAAATTACAGTGAATGACTGAGAATTTTCCGAAGTTATGAATTAATGAAAAACACTCAAATTTATTCGAAATTCAGTACAACACGGAATAATAATTACAGTATGGTAATAAACGATGACTTCAATACAACATAAAAAAATACAGTATAATATGGAATATTGAATTACATAGTATAATTAGGAAACAGAAATGATGTTGTTGATGCTGTAAAATTAGTTAAATATCCATTAAAGTTATTGTTTTATTTTTTCTCTCTTTACTCTTAATAATTAAACGAAGTATAAATGATTTGTTGTATTTCGGAATATTCGAAATTGTAAGAAATGTATAATTTGAAATGAAAAGTTTATTAAAAGAAAAGACAAATTCATATAAAAACTTAAGGCAGTAGGATGAAATTTAAATAATTATTGCATGAATATAATGGATGGTACACAGTAACAAATAAGATGTATGATAAAATAAACATGTTTTGTGCGCATTTCAATATGATAATACAATTTGATAGCAATGTTAATGTGCATTAAAATATAATCGATTATTGAAATACAGGAATTATTTACTGGAAATTTTTCCATATCGACTAAAATTGTTTTAGTTATATCACCTTGACTGACTGTCATTTAACCTTGTTGGGTCATATTTTTCGTCGCAAAGAAACGCTGAATGACAACATTATTCTGCAAATAAATGAAAATGATATTCTAGAACATTAATACAAAATATAATTTCAACAAATACTGAATAATGCTTTAAATTACTAATTGAAAACCATTGCTTTTTTAGATTTAAAAAAAAGATTAAATTTTGCATCCTTTTTTCTTAACGATAAAATCATCGTTTTTCAAGTGGAAAGAAAAAATTTTACAAATTTTCCCCAGCCAGTTTTAATTTATCATTAGTTGTTTAAGTAAATGTTTGTAAAATTTTCGTTCCTTATATCGGAATTAATTTTTTTCAAATAAATATATATGTAGATTACCTCTGTTGTTAATGTAAAACGATAATTACGACCACTGGGTATAATGATAAAATCACATCGTTCAACATTTATACGAATCCAATCATCCTCACCTACTTCAATATCATAAAATGCGCTTCCATCCATGATCAGAAATGCGGAATCGACATCTTTTGTTATCGGCTCATAGAATTGTTCCAACTTTAAAATATTTCATCATGCGAAAAAAAAGAAGAAACTTTGATGAATTCAAAGTTTTTTTCCGAAATTCAAATGTTTTTTTTAAAAACTTTAAAAAATAACAAACGTAAAAGATTTTTCAGTTTTTTTGTTTTTTGTTTCATTCCTTTATTTTGACTCATTTAATAAACAGATATCTTCTTCAGTAAAATATTTCTACACTTATCTCTGAATGATTACAGTATCTATGGAAAGAATAAATGGCTCAATGAAAAGTTAAAAGATTTATGCAAAAAGTTAAGTAAAAGATTTTTGGGACTCATCTTGACTGATACAATATAATGTTTCCTTTTTCCGAAAGCATCTTAACTTCTGACATCCTTAATTAATTAAACAAAAAGTTTATTGGTTGACAAATAACTCTGCCGACATTTGTGCACCTTCATCTTCTACGAATATTAACTTTAGCTACTATCATTGCTATTGTTAGTATCATTATCATTTTTATTACTACCATCATTTATTATTGTTATTATTATTATTATTATTATTGTTATTGTTATTATTATTATTATTATTATTATTATTATTATTATTATTATTATTATTATTATTATTATTATTATTATTATTATTATTATTATTATTATTATTATTATTATTATTATTATTATTATTATTATTATTATTATTATTATTATTATTATTATTATTATTATTATTATTATTATTATTATTATTACTTACTTACTTATTACTTAATTAATTATTATTATTATTA